AATCAAATTCCCTTCTTAAAAATGGCAAGGCCGAACCAGTGTATTGTCTTTTCGTTAAAAGCATTTAAAACACGAATAGTTTCTTCTGGTAGGAAGTGAAAATTGCAAGCAGTGATTATAATACTATAAATCTCAACAATATTAGCATTACTGTATTAATGTAGCATCAATGTAATAACATTACATTATTACCTTCATATACCATGAATGTAATAACATCTTAGAAGGTAAATAAAATGATGGTTGCGTTTGAAGAAGGCCTTTGTTTACCTGGAGCAGGTGGTCTTTCAGAACTGATCCAATAGGAAAGGAAGGAAATAACTTATTCAGTTCAGTAGAACGGCAGGGAAATTGTTTTTGCCCCGTGCTTGTGTGGGCGGAGGTATAGAGAGTGTGAAATCCAACTTAAAACCAGCACAAAAGAGCTGTCATTCAAATGAAACACAAGAATTAATTTTTAGAGGAGCTGCCAACTCTAAAAATAAAAAAAGGGGAGTAGAGGGAGCCAAAAGGAACAGCTTAGAGAATTAGAGCAACTGGAGTCCTCTAAATAAAAATGTATCTGAATGTTTTGAATCTGGCATTTTTTTTATTTTTTTTTTATTTTGGGTAATTGGCAGGCAGTTCCTTGCCAACCGCTTGGCAGACTAATTAAAAAATGTCTTCATACTGTTGAGAAAAATGACTGGTGACCAGGTTATTTCCTTATTCCTGCCATACTGTACAGATTTCATTCTCCTTGAAACATTCCAGCTTGAGCAAAATTCAGATCCCGTTGCTGTCAGTCAAAGCTCTGAAGGCCTAGAATTAGTGAGAACTAAGGAGTCACTTTGTGCTAACGCGACGCGAGAGAAAATGAAAGAAAACCGGTGCCTTCTATTGGCTTTGGACTACCACTCCCATACTCCTTTGTCACTGGCTGATGCTGATGGGAGTGGAGGTCCAAAACATCTATGCAATACTGGTGGCCGTTGACTTATTGGGTCCAAAATTTCTACTGCTCCCTCCCCAGTCCTGGATGGCAGGATGCCAGCGAGGTGCCAAGCTGAACGTGGCAGACCTGACAGAATATTGTTAGCCACAACCATCAGGAAGTGTAACTTTGACGGCCAGGACTCCTCGGCTATAGCTTATTTTAGCCTAAAAGTTAAATAATCTTATTTTAGCCTTGCTGCGAGTCTTCTGCCAGTTTCCCCGCAGCTAAGCTACTCAACTTTTGGCACTGGAGGAAATGCAGGGGGCCAGACTAGAAGACCTCCAAGGTCCCTTCCAGCTCTGCTCTATTCTACCAGTGGGGAAGCCCAGTTCACTTTGCAACCCTTAACCACCGTGATTCACTTAAGAACTGTGGCAAGGACGGTGGTAAGAATGGGGCAAAACTCACTTCGCAGCTGCCTTGCTTAGCAACAGAAAAGCTGGGTGTGTGTGTGTCAATTTGTGGTCATAAGTCGAGGACTACCCATACAATAGGGTGGACATTGGTGGTGGGGGGGTATCAGCGCCGTCGAGGCTTGGTGCTGGGTGGAAGTTTTAACATCGGTGGATTCCGTTTGTTTCCCACCGCAATTTTGCTTCGCTTGCAGGATTTGGACAGAGCTCGCAAAAAAAAAAAAAAAAGAGACGAGGCTCCTTTAAGAGTTACCCAGCCGGCAGATCGGAGCTGCCGCCGCTTCTCGTGCGCCTCCCCCGAGCGACAAAACGCCAACCGCTTGGAATGTACCATTCATCTCTGGAAGAGGGGGGGGAGCCAAAACCCATCCCCTCCCCCGGGATGCCCAAACTGCGCGAGCCAACGCTTTCTGCTCTGCAAACTTCAACTGACTCTCCTCCTTTCCGAGAAAGCTGGAGTCCGCTCCCCCCCCCGCTTGTCTTTCCAGTGGGTTGTCTCCGTTGCCTTGGGAGCTTTCCCAAACGGACGGCTGGTGGTTTAAAAAAGAAAAGAAAAAAGAAAGTTGCGGGGCGAGTTTGCTCGGAGACTTCGCGAGTTGATACCGTAAGCGGACGGGAGCGGGGTCCCGAACCCCCCAAAGCTTGCATTGGCCCCGTAATTAGTATTATTCCTTATGTGTAGAAGCCCTTGGGTTGGCAAGGACGTCCCTGACGTTGAACGGATGATGCCTTGAGAATCTACCTGGCTAAAAAAAAAGAGGCATAAAACAGAACCTGGCTGAGTTTGCACAACCTGGTTACTGAATTTACTTAGGGTTTTATAAATGAATCCAATGTGCAATAAGACGCACACGCACACCCCCCAAAAAAGTGGGTCTGAGTTAGCCAGTTGGGCAAATGTAAATTGCTAATATAGTAACTTGACTATTAGGTGAGTGCTAGCCCCTGCATTAAGCCTAGAAGGGGCTTGTTTAGATAAGACAGGACAACCTTTATTGTCATTGTCAAGTTAATGTAGTAAAATGAACAATTGCTGGAACGAACTGCCCCTCTGGAACGAACTGCCCCCAGAGATCAGGGTGATCCCTGATCTCCCTTCCTTCCGCCGCGCCCTCAAGACGTGGTTGTTCCAGCTACGCCCTGACCGGACTCCCTAAAATTTCCCCAAAATTAATGAAAATTAACCTGTATAAATTTATAAAACAAAATTAATTTAAAATTAATCCCTATTATACATATATACAATGTATTTTATTCAATTGTCAGCCGCCCTGAGTCCGTAAGGAGAAGGGCGGGATATAAATGCAATTAATAAATAAATAAATAAATAAATAATGATTTGTCTGCATAATTGCTAGAATAATAATGTAATGCATAATCACTGGGAAAATTCACTGGGAAAGTTCTGTGTCAGTAATATGTGACTAACCAAATGCGCATTGCACATGGATACTTTGTATGTAGCAAAACCTACCATTGTATGCCCGTGAGAAACGATCCTAATGTATTACAGTGTATTACCATGTGTAGTCCTTTGTTCCTAAAAGAAGGATAGTATTAAAAACTGAAGACTAATCCCGCCCTCCTTGTTCAGAATTGCCTGTCTCCATTATGCTTCTGAACCTGCGCAATAAACCTCTCTGCTAAACCCCTCTGGAATTCGTAAGAGTTCTTTAGTCTTCCACAAGAAAGTAAACGTTAGGGTGATTCCAGCCCTTGCAGAATCTTGGTTCAAGCAGATGAATTGGGAGATTTTATTCCCGACTCTTAAAAGAGTAAAAGATAGACTAATAGGGCTTATCGCTGATCAGGAAGGAACCCTTTCCCATTTTCTGTGAAATATTATTCTTAATATTAATATTATTTTGCAGCCAAATGCCTTTTGAGAAGAGGAGGGCTCCCCCAGTTTAGCAAGATGGAGAGCCTTAGCGCTTTGGAAGAGGACCTGTTTCCTGATTTATATCCCATCGTAGAGGAAAACAAGGAAGAAGAAACAAATACGTTGGAAGAACTTGAGGAAGAGGTGGAAGGTTGGAAAGGTTTATTTATCTTTTTTATTATTTGTCTACTTGTTTATTTTGTATTTTTAGTGTGCAAAGCTAATCTGTATCGGTGTCTTTCCAGGATGGAGAGACTAGCAGTCTTCACCAATCTTAGAAAAGCAAAATGGGGTCAAACCTAGTTAATGCTTGGCTAGCAGATCACCCAGGTCACATACTGGGAAATTGTCCCTGTGTCTATTTTTATTTATTTTTTTGACACAATACCCCCTTTTTTCTCTGCCAGTTTTCATGGGGCAGTGACTTTTTAGAACATCGCGTCCCTGAACTTCTGGTCTTGGAAGGTTTTGTCAAGGCCTTTTAACAGAAGAAAAACCTCTCCTTTCCCTCTAGGGCTTGAAGAAGATGAGTTGGAAGCCCCCCCAGCCGAAGAAGATTCTTTGGAAGGAGCCGAAGAGGCTACAGAGATTAGCAAGTGAGTCTGTGTAGGTCATCCTCGAATTACGACAGTTTGTTCAGTGACCATTCAGAGTTACAACGGCACTGAAAAAAGTGACTTGTGACCGTGATCAAAATTCAGATGCTTGGCTACTGCTTCATACTTATGACCTTTGCTGTGTCCCAAGGTCAATGGGGGAAGGCAGATTCACTTAACAGGTCCGTGTCACTAACTTAACAACTCCAGCGATTCAACTTAACAACGCTGGCAAGAAAGGTCGTAAAACGGGACAAAACTCACTTAACAACTGTCCCGCTTAACAACGGAAATTTTGGGGCAAATTTGGGTCGTAAGTCAAGGATTAGCCATATATCTTTATTCTGAACCATTCAATTGACTTAAACAAAATCAGTAAAATAAATATGCCTAATGGGGTATTTTATTTTATTTTATTTTATTTTAAAAAGAGAAAGTTCCAAAGCAAGATTTGGAAACGATGCTTCTTAAAAGCTGGGCTAAGTTCTGGGACTTCACCCAAGCTGAGAAGCTGCATAAAGGAGAAGCGGAAAGGGGCCCGTGATCTCCTGGACCTACATCTTAGCTTGAGGCATCCCTCGATGTATTGATTTAAATAATTTATAGCTCTCCCTGTCGGTCTCAAGGCGGCGTTCCTTTAGGTTGAGACCTGCTTTTCTTACCAACAGGAAAAGCTCGGAAGGATTCCCCGTGCCGAGCCAAGGGCGGACCATGAACTACACCGATCGGGTTCGTGTCCTCAACTTGCGCCGAAACCTGAATCAGCTTGACAGTCTCACCAAACAAAAAGAGCTTCTCATTCAAAAAACGAGG